GATGGCGTTTCGGAAGACAAAGTGTACAACCTGTGTCTACAATTCTTTAGTTTCAAAAAATGTTCCAGCGACGATATGGCTACACATATATCAAAATTAAAGAATCTATGGAGCGAGTTAAAAATGGAAATGAGAAACGACGCTGATGGTAATACAGAACTGCCCGATTTGTTTTTGATTTGCAAAATTTTAGGTACGCTACCAGACAATTATTTTTCCTTCAAGTCAAGTTGGATGATGATGTCAAAAAGTGACAGAACGGTTGATAATTTGACAAATCAACTGTGTGCTTATGAGCGAGCCTTAAAAAACAATGAGGATGGATCATCGAGACAGGAAGCTCTCATTTTGGACTCATCAAAAAGAACTCCTACACAAGTAAGTTTGACCGAACAAAAGAAAAAGAAGAAGATACTTTGCAACTATTGTAAGAAACCTAACCATGTTATAAAAGTATGCAGAAAGTGGATTGCGGATGGAAGACCTCCAAAACTTGATAACAAGCCAGAACAAACTTCAAACATGCTTCTTTTGATTGTTACATCGCCAGTGATGAATTCAGAATGTGGTGCAGATGATTGGTATGTAGACAATGGCGCTACAAATCATATTTCAAGCGACAAAAGTTACTTTAAAACTCTCCAACCATTCACAACAGCACACTCAGTAACCACGGCAAACGGTGAAAGAATTGAAGCTATCGGCAAAGGTGAAGTTGACATAGAGGCAGCTATCGGAGGCAAGTGGCACAGGATCACTCTGACAGATGTATGGTGTGTGCCTGGAATAAAGAAAAATCTGTTTTCTGTTCTAGCTGCACACGACAAACACCCAGATAGTCAGTTTCTTTCAACCACAGAAATTGGAAATTTTAAAGTTGGCAAAGATGTAGTGTTAGTCGGTGTACGAAAACGTTATGGAGGACTTTTTAAATTGGCAGTGAGAAGCGTGAAACCTACGTCTCCAAATGAAGTTAATGTCACAGGCAAAGAGAATCTTTTGCAGCTATACCACGAACGACTTGGACATCAGAATAAACGACACGTGAAGTCCCTGCTGGACAGAGAATTCAATGTTACGGTGAAAATGGATAGTGAACTGTGTGAAGGATGTATCTATGGGAAAGCTCATCGTCTACCTTTCGGTACCAGAGAAAAAACTACAAAGCCGGGAGAGCGGATTCACACAGATGTTTGTGGACCATTTGAAGAATCGATGTCAGGCTTTCGGTATTTTGTTTTGTTCAAAGATGATTGGACAAAATTCAGGACTATCTACTTTATTAAAGAGAAGTCAGAAGTTGCAGAAAAGCTAAGTCAGTTTATAGCAGAAACAAAAACCACGGGACATTTAATTAAGGAACTGTTGAGTGATAATGGAAAAGAATTTGACAACAGAGAAGTAAGGAGAATCTTACAAAAAGAAGGTATAAACCACCGCCTTACGATGCCATATACTCCAGAACAGAATGGAACAAGTGAAAGAGAAAATCGCACAGTTGTTGAAACTGGTAGAGCGATAATGCATGCTCATGGAAACATTCAACAGAGTCTGTGGGCTGAAATGATTCGCACAGCAAATTACATCCTAAATCGAACGGGACCTTCAAGTGTTGCATGGACGTCTCCATATGAACTTTGGTATGGGAAGAAACCAAGCTTGAAACATCTACGGATCATAGGTTCCACGTGCTATGTTCATGTGCCGAAACAGCAAAGGCACAAGATGGATCGAAAAGCCATTAAAGGAATATTGATCGGCTACGACCACGACGATGGATATAGAATTTACTGTGAAGAGGAGGGCAAGCTCATTAGATCAAGAGATGTTATCTTTGAGGAGAAAACTTTACAGCAAGGGAGAGGTGTAGTAATTCCAGGAAACATCGAACTTTCTGATCAACATGGCGACTTGACGCATGGTGATAAACAGGTTGAACAAAACGATGAAACTGATGAAGAAGACGAAACCTTTTGTGGACTCGAGAGCGAGGCAGAAAGTACGGATAGTGATGAAAATAAAACACCAGAACCCATTGATGAAGATAGTGTCAACAAACCTCGACAATTACGAGATCGCTCAAATCTTAAAGCTCCGATCCGATATGACGACTACGCGCTGTATCTTTCGACATTTCAGGAACCAGAAACGTACAGTGAAGCCATGAAGTCAGATCAGAGAGAACTATGGCAAGAAGCTATGGATTGTGAGATGCAATCTCTGAAAGATAATCAGACCTGGGAGTTAGTCAGTTTACCTCCTGGAAGAAAGGCTATTCCAAACAAGTGGCTCTACAAGATAAAGACAAACGCCGATGGGTCAGTCGACAAGTTCAAGGCCAGATTGGTTATCAAAGGATTCAATCAGAAAAGAGGAGTAGATTATGATCAGACCTTTAGTCCAGTTGCAAGAATGTCAACGATTCGAACATTACTCAGTGTAGTAGCCAATGTAGGCATGAAACTTACTCAGATCGACGTTTCCACAGCTTTCTTATATGGTGACCTGGATGAAACTATTTATATGCAACAAGCTGAAGGCTATGGGGATAAATCTGGGAGAGTTTGTTGTCTAAAGAAAAGTCTGTATGGACTAAAACAGGCGTCTCGTTGCTGGAATAAGAAGATCACCGAACTGCTTCTACGACTTGGATTTAAACAAAGCAAGGCCGATCCTTGTCTTTTTGTGAGACAAAAAGATGGAAAGACGATGATATTTCTTCTCTACGTCGATGATGGACTGATTGCAAGTGAAGATGAACAAGAACTTCAAATCTTCATCAATGAGTTGAAGAAAGAATTCAAAATTACTTTCAAACCGGCGACATATTTTCTTGGACTTGAAATCGAACGAGAAGGAGATGGCTCCCTTCAGATCGCTCAAACTCACTACACGGAAAAGTTGTTAGAAAGATTTAACATGAGCAACTGTAATGCAGTGAGCACTCCCATTGTCAAAGATAATGAAACTGAAGAAAGTCCCCGTAATGAAAATTTTCCATACCGACAAGTGGTGGGAGCACTGATGTTTTTGATGTGTGGAACTCGGCCAGACATCGCTTATGCTGTCAGTGTGGTGTCCAGGAACCTGGAGAATCCTACAGAACGTGACGTGGTTCGAGTGAAGAGAATTCTGCGGTACCTGAGAGGAACTTCAAATTATAGACTTTTGTATAAGAATGACCATGAAAAAGGGGTTCTTATCTGCTACAGCGACGCTGATCATGGTGGTGATCTCAGCACCGGACGATCAACATCAGGGGTGTTATGCCTATACTCTGGGGCGCCGATCTCATGGATGAGTCAAAGACAAGCCTCTGTTGCAATTTCCACTACAGAAGCTGAGATCGTAGCCGCGAGTGAAGCTGCTCGGGAAATCATCTGGATTAAAAGGCTTTTGACTGAACTTGGTCAGTTGAAAGAGACGCCTGCACTACAGGTAGACAATGAAGCTGCAATTCGATTGGCTCAGAATCCGGAATTTCACAGAAGAACGAAACACATTCGTACTCGACATTTCTTTGTACGCGAACTAGTCACTTCTGGGCAAATTAAAATTTATAAAGTAGAGTCGCAGAGACAGCTTGCAGATGTATTGACAAAACCATTGTCATCAGTTAGGTTTAGGGATTTATGCAATAATTTAGGCATGTTGTTGTTATTAAATAAGGGAGAGTGTTGATGTAATTCCTTAATTTTGTATTTAATAACCTTAGAGTGAGGAATCTATTATTTTTACAATGTCTATGGTATTTGACATACTCCTGTATACAAGTCGATTAATATAGAAATGTTTTATTTGGCTGCTTTTCTTGGTGAAAAATCTTAACAATAATTAATAAGACCACTGATAACTTACGCTACAAAAGCCATCAAACCCCTGAGTCGAATGTCGAGAAGAACTCGACAGAACGGTTCTAAAACGACGTGACGATATTGGCTTGAGGAAGTTCGTGGGTCTAACTTTTCTGGCGGCGGAAGTGGATATCGTGGCTAAACTCATGGACTCAATAAGAGAATAGATCTAAAGCCGTTTCCTATTTATAGGAGTCTCGGTCCGTAGGAACGAATTGGGAAATAGTAATTTACGCAACTAGTTCGGGATAGCCTGCTTCCCGCATGAACGCTTGTTTGAGGCACGACCGAAGGGAGTGCCGCATTTGCGTGAATGCGGGAAGCAGGCTCACGAACGTGTTGTGTACAATATTTTTTGCGACGAATAAACCTTTAAACTGAAGAGATTAACTGTGAGTTATTTATAAACAACGCCATTGACAGCGCCGTCAACACGTCACAATGTTGACACTACCCGAGTATTTTAAGGTTACCATGGCAACGGGAAGTTAAATGCACGTGTGCGGGAAGTTCGACCTCCCGCACTCTGGTGAATGCGCGAAAGCTATCAAAAAAGGTCATGAGTGCAAAAATATGTTTCCCACGATTTTTTTCGCTATTAAATTAGACAAGTCATGAAACAGGAGAACTGAATATCCTTGAATGCAGGTATCGCACCTGAGCCCAGGCGATCTTAGATTTTAGTTGTCATTGAAGTGATGTGATTGTAGGTCAGTCCATTCTGTTCATATTTGGAATGAATGTAAATTCTTGGAAGATATTGGAATAAAGAAGCGGCCGAAGTGGATTTGCGAGGCCGTGGAAAGTAATAGATAGTTTTGATGGCTAAGCTAGTAAAAAATGATTCCAGAATTCGGGCTTTTTGGTCCTTGCAACAAAAGGGGTAGGTCGCCTTATGAAAAGGACGAAATTTCTGTCCGCCTCAGCTGCTTGTTTTGCTCTTTCATTGGAATAAGTGTTAGAGGTGGTCACTAATTTTCCTGTACTTGTTTTTCCATTGCTGGGAGTCGAGTTCTAATCTCAATAATTATAAAATGTTCTACTTACCCATAGAAGTGCCACTGTCCAACCAAACCAATCAATATCTTCTCTTTGCTTGTCCGACATTATATTCGAAAAGCACTACCAAATAAATAAAATACAAACTATCATAGATATTGTTTATTTTGATGTAACGGACAACTAAATACAGAAAACACTGAAAACATACATCGTTCAATATCTTACTGAGATCTATGGTTCTAAAGTTGACAATAAACAGAAAAACGTGCATTCAAACTTATGCATAGTAATAATACAACCTTTGAAAAAATATATGTAATGTAAAAATGAACGATCTCTCCCTGTAAAACCACTAACTTAAGAAATATTTACGTAATATTGCTCACAAGCCGCTGTACTCTGCTAAATCGTATACACGATGGGAAAATCCACAATTTCTTTATTACGACGGATTTCTCCATTAAGTATTAAATTCAGCTTAATCTTCCTTTCGTCCCTTCACAAATCAAAAGCTAAAGTCCACATTTTCAGATGTTTTCTAATAAAAATGATCCTCACATTTAAAAATGGCTTGAAGTCGGCACTATAAAACTAATAAAATTCAACATTTGGCTTAACGCATAATAAATAATAGATATGATACAACTAGAAAGTAAACACTTATGACTAGTAGAAAATGAATAGAGATGGGATTCCCCTATGACTTTTCTGACTTATTGTCTTAACTGCTTTCATTTTGTATTTAGAAATACTCACAACAGTTATGTTTAGGCTCGTGAATCGTGACTTCGGCCTAATTTTAATATTTCTTGGTGCAAAAATATCTTACTTCTACAATATCGTTAAATTGTGTAAATAAAAGATATGTTAATCCATATGTACACGTGCTTTAGGATAAGGTTTTTATGCCAGGATAGAAACTTTTTTGTTAAGTTTAGAGTGAACGCATCTAACTACACCAGTGATCAGCTGAAGAAATACGTGCTTATAAGCATCGTGTTAGAAAAAGTTAGTTTCATTTCTGGCGAAATTATATCGAAGCGATTTAATAGGATGCGACATAAAAATTAGGAAGTACAGAGACAGCGCCACACGTTGGAGTCTGGTTATTATAAAAATATATTTTTTTGAGTTTGGGTTTTTTCCATTTTTTTGTAGATATGAAGATAAAGGTGTTCGGACACTGTCACTGTACACACTAAAAAGTCAAGTAGAAAATTATACTTTACACATTTGGACCTCTTTCAAGATTAGTCACAACGTACTAAATTCCTCTACTAAATATATTCCAAAAACTTAACATATCATTTCTTGAAAGGGTAACATTTATCAACACTGAACATAAAATGGCTATCACAACTAAGGTCTTAGCAGCACATCAAGTGCACCGAACTTTGTAAAATTTCCTCTTCCAAAATTTCTGTAATTTTGTGGAGACCGTCAAACTATCCTAACACATAAACAAAACAACAAAAAGTACCTATATAGGTACAAACATACCTATACAGTCCCTACATAAAAACCATGCAACAATAATTACTCTAACGTCCATACACAAATCCAACAACTAAATTAAAATCACATTTAAACGAAATCACAAGAACACCGTCTCCAACACTAGAGATCCCCATTCTCTATGGCTTTATTCAGGTCTGCGACGATCCGACCCAATGTCTCCTTGTACGGAGAGTTCACTTGAAAAATATCATCTAAGAACTGTTCGTTCGAGAAGAAATTGAAAACACTATCAATTCGTGATAAAGATTTTTCCGTTAGGTGTTTGGACACGATAAACTGGAGGCACTTGTGGGACTCTCCGAGAGCTGCTGTCAGATAGTTCCTGTCGTAACTGAAGTCAACTTCATAGAAAGATATGATGGCCATTCCAGCCATGCGGAATTTTGTTTTGAACCGTTCCGCTTGCTTCAGTTCTTCAGCTGAAAACTGGCCGTTGCGATGGAGGACTCCGAGCTTGATCACCACCTTTATTATGTTTTTTATGAGCTTTTCCGCTTCTTTCTTGTTGTCTGACTGAAAAAGGAAAACGGCGGTTATTATTTAAAACACACCAACGGATTATTTTTTAAAAGAAACAAAAAACACCCTGTGAAACAAATATTCAATCTATGGTGGTAAACTGTGTTTTTATGGATGGCTGTGACTGTATCGAACAAATCATAGGGGACGAATAAAAGTGCCATGCACAGGGCGTGTCCACTTTGAAAGAGAGGCGGAGTTTGTTTAACTTTTATTCACTTTGTCCGTAAAAAATAGATTCGGCTATAAATTGCATGAAAGCGTTTAATTATCTCAAATAATGACGCAAAATCTGCTCTATGCATTTTGTGGTTACATTAACCAATATTGTTGATGGAGATATCTAATCATAATTAAATTTCTGCAAACACTGGTAATCAGATATGTCGAACAATTTATGACCGTGTAGATGCAGTTCATAATCAATTACTAATTGTGGCTAATCTGTAGTTGTATCTCAATGGGTGTATTGAAATCAAATAATTGCTTAAGATAAGATTATTCATTCCGGGTTCAAGATGAAAAATTTATTTAAAGAGATGATTAGTAGGTATGAATAAAGTTTATTCACACAATGCAGAGGTTAATAACAATTATTTCTTTAGAAAACGGGTTTTTTAGACTTCAGAATCCTCGAATCGATATCAAGTTTAAAAAAAATCCATTTTTTACAAACTGTAGGTATGTTATTAATTTGGACACAGCTAATTTTGTAAACGAGTGGTTTTAAACCATGTTTCGATATTGTATGTAATCGGGGCAGTTCCAGTTTGACAGCTTTTATTTTTAAAATAGGATTATAGTTTTTTTAATTTATTTTTTAACAGGTTGCTACTCTGTATGGCAGCGCTAAATCAACTTTTACGTCAGCACCGTTAATTTAGTCATCAGTTCCGGACCAATATGTACCTATTTATTTTCTATGGAAAAATGAAAGTAGATTAATTGAGAACGATTCCCTTAGATGGTTTGTTATAAGTTATAACCTCCAAAGTTAGTATTTTCTGAAGTGTATTCTGCGTGAAAGTGGGCTAAAATGTTTTTTTTTTGGACATAAACACATGTTTACTTTCCAGTACTTTTTTTATTCTTCGTTAATGGATACCGGTTTCGGCAAGTTCGATCGTCATCAGTCCTTATCCAGTGGGGTATAAATATGTACCCATTGACCGAGAAAAAAACTGCTCATCTCGAAAAACTCTTTTGGATAGTTTAATTCGGTACGTTTTGACGAATTTGACACGACCAAGTCAAAAAAAAAAGAACTCAAAACGAGAAAAAAGTGGAGCATTTCAAAGTATCACCTCGCCGACCGCGAAAAACAATTCAACTACTTGATTTTACTAAACTGCTCACTCATCACACAATAAAAAAGTCATTGACACAATCACTTACGAATTAAAGGTGTCAAATCGTCTTGAACCTTGTCGTTCGGCATAAATGGCAATGAAAATGTTAAAACATCTTTCATGTCGACTGTAAAAGTTATAAAAAGGAAAGGAGCAAGCACGGAGTCCCGAGACACTCCAAACACGAAACCAACAGGCTTATTAAGGACATCACCAATCTTGAATCGCAAGGTTCGATTACTTAAACATGAATCAATCCATTAAAGCAGATTCCCTTGTATTCCAATATGCTTCCATGAATGGTGCTTTGGGACTCTTCAATCCCTTGGAGAAATTAATGTCTAGAGTAGCTTCCCAGTGGTCAGCCACAAACAAAATCTAATCCTTTGAAAAGTGCAGTTCAAGAATGGCGATCTAATAGAAATTTTATGATTTTGTCATGAACTACGACTTTGACCACAATTGATTGTGGTGTGTTAAAAATAAGGTGTATACTCCAGTTTTCCAGTTGGAGGATACAAAACAAAAGTTAAACGACTGCTCCATCAAAATTGTGACGGGAGTGGAGAGGGACTACGTGTAGTTGTTTGAAACATTAGTTGAAATTACATCTGGACTAGGATGTCAGTGGTCAGCTAGTTAGAATTATAACTACTGGACTCGACTCTCTAGAGGATGATGTTATGTAAATATCTAAAAGGAGGTTTCAGTGCAACACTGTTACTATTATTAAGCATTATGGCTGAAGTATTTTTGACATGAATTGTTTTACGTATACAGTCGAGATAGCTTTCTATAAATGTGCTCATATAGAGGCACTGAAATAATTTGGCGTCAGCGATATGTTCCTTGTGCGTATTTGAGTATTCTGGTATTTCTAGTAACAGGACTTGGAAAAACATTCTGGACTTTATGATTTGACTCAAGATCTGTTTTTTTAAAGATATGTCAAAATGGTTGCTTTATTACGTACTAGACTCAGATTGAGTTGAATTTGTTCTTTTACATCTACATCTTTCCTCAAAAAAGATATTTTTACTGGAAATGTACTGCAAAGTTTTAAATTTTCCATTAGAATATAACCCTCATTTCATTTTGGTTAGACGACCGTTGTTAGTCATGTTTGTAATAGGTCGGATGTGTAACCAACTGGTTAAATTTCTAAGCGATTCTGAGAAGAGAAGAATAATTTAATTGATTTAATTTTGATACATAAACGCTGCCATTTTTCCCCATTACAATGAATTCAAAAAACTATATACAGATAGAGTAACTCTACTGTTGAATTTGATTTTTTTGCATTTGTAATACATATTTACAAAAAACATTAATTAGAAGAAATTTTCATTGAAAAAGTAAACACATGGCAATCAAGTTAATGATGTTTCTAAATAAACTTTTTATACATTTTGTAGTATGATTCGTTTTCTACACAGTTGATAGTTTTGAAATGTTTTGATTGATCGCTTCAGATGAAACAGCTTATACAAACAGGAGTTACACATGCGAAGGCTTCCAGGAAATAAACTTGAATATTTTTGAAATATGCAGCTTCTGCATGTGCAGATGTTCCAGTTTTGACACGCAAGTCACTTTTTTTAAACAACTTATGGCATATTTTCTTAAGGTATAGTGGCTGTAGCAATATTTATTTTGTTGACAAGTTTTTTACTTTTCTTTGTATTGGAAAAAAGCGTCGAAATTTGTCAAATTTTTGTCGTACCTATCCGTATTTTTATACTGGTACAAGAGATGCAATGATTTTATGACTTTCCCAACTCTCTCGTCATTGAACAAAGAACATCTCAAACTAATATGGCTAAAAATACGCTGGCCCTATTTAGAAGATGCCAGTCAAATACAACAGGGAGTCGCTATTTAAGTTTAGGATGGTGTTATAAATTTGTATCTAATAAGCTGCATTCCTTGACAAGGGTAACAAAACTAACAAAGAAGTCAAAGTCGAAAAACCACTATATTTCTTGTGCCAATATACTCAGTGACTATACACACACTTTTTCATTTCCGTCTACATTTTTGAATCGCAAGTTAATGATTAATTTAATCATGCTCTTTGCATTTCAAATATTACTAGTATAATAATAATAATTAATAACACGAACGGATGTAGTTAACGGTAACTAATGATAAATAATTTTTACTTTCGGAGCGTAAGCTAAGGAAGTTAGTAATCGACTCCATCGGACGATTGGCCACTTTTATATTTTCTCAACGTTTCATAACCCTGAGGGTACGAGAAAAGTAGTCTCCTTTTTCCGTCTGTCTGTCTGATGTCTGTATCCATTTTTGCTGCTATGCTAACGAAAATTTTGCTAATCATCCCTACTAACAATTTGATTATGTAATTTCAAAGAATTCGATGTTTATTTGATTTAACTGTTATACAACAATATAATACTATAAGTTTGGTGTACGAATCCGCTTTGAGTATTTCCCAAATTTTTGTAAAAACAATTATGTTTTTGTGAATTAGCACGGTATAATAACAGTTTACCATTAGCGTACGGCATCCCGGTCGTGGTCTAGTTTTAGTGGTTGCGAGTCAGGAATGCGGACCGGACGTCGCGCGTTCGATTCCAAACTTGACCTATTATTGATGAAATCACCCCACTTTCTCGACAAGGTGAGAATACGCCCCTGTTTATTTAAAAATGTAAAACCTTCTCGGGGCGCCAAAGGTCTGTTTTTAAAAATTTTAAACCTTCTCGGGGAGCCAAATGTCTTTTTAAGAACGTGAAACCTTCATCGGGCGTTCCAACTGTCTTATTTTAAGAATGTGAAACCTTCTCGGGGGCCCCAAATGCCTTTTTTAAGAATTTGAAACCTTCTCCGTAAGCCCAACTGGCCTTTTTTAATGAAGGCGAAACTTGTCGGGGGCCCCAAGTGTCTTTTTTTAAAGAATATTTCATCTTCTCGGGTGATCCAAAAGTTTTTAGATTAGAGTTGCCATGGAAATATTTGTAATGTCTTTGATTAAACTGCAAGGGTCATGCATAACCTCATTTGTATTTCAATAATTTGAATTTTGGACATTTGCATTTTAATCAAAGACATTACAAATATTTTCATGACCAACTCTAATCTAAAAACTTTTTGATCACTCGTTATTACACTATGACTAGTACCTTCTTTATTGGTTTTACTATATAGAGGTTATGATGAAACAGTAAAATCAAATTTTATGATTTTTCAGAGAAGCAGTATTTGTTGGACTGCACTTCAAAAGCGAGGATCATTTTTTTTATATGTTAGCATTTTTCATTTTTTACGAATTTTTCGAGTTTTTTTGAAAATTAAGTATATTTTCTTACAATTAGATTATGGTGACAATATTTTACAAATGCACACTAAAAATTTAGTTACTTGACTAAAATCGGTCTCAATTATTTACACAGTACTTTCCTCGCCATTGGAGCCCAGTCAAATACGTCCATTTTTCTAAATAAATTATAAAAGGTTGTTCGACAAATTTAACATTATTTTTTCTGTGACAACGCCTATACATTGCAATAAAATAGTACCCCGGAGATTTGAAAAATTAGGAAACCATTTTTTATTTAAACAATAATAATATTACTTAAGTTATTTAGTATGTAGGTATTTTTTAAACACCCTGTACAAATAGTTATAAAAACCAAAAACATATTTTTAAGGAGCGAATAAGGTTGCATTTCGAAGTACATTTTAATAAACATTTATTTAAAGATGTATGTAGATCCAATTACGCGAACTGGAGGTCGTAGAAATTTAGTTTGTCTCCACGTTACTTAAAATTGAATTTTATTTAGTATAAGAGGGACATGTTTCGACGACTTCAGTCCTCATCTTCAACCATAAGAAAGATGTTACCTGTTGCTGTTCATGCGACAAAGAAGTGTGTCAAATATTTATTTAATAATTTTTTACGACAAATATTCTAGAGCGGACACATAAACACATTTTAAACGTTGTTTTGTCCACATGAAATCAATGTTAATAATCTATCAAGCTTTCAAAAGGGTGTTTTCATCTGTTCGTTTTTACAAATTACAAATTATAAATAAATATAATGTCACTCAATTTCAAGAAAGACAAATTGAAAGAAATGAATTTTCAAATGACGTCATCAAGTTTTTAAAAGGTATCAAAACAATTTCAGCGCAATCGATTTTATAGTTTCTAAGTTAAACTATGACATCTAATATATGCATAAAAGTACTTAAAAAGCAAGGTAGATCATCACAAGTTATAGGTAAATAAATACATTGTATTTTCCACAGTTTACATGGGATTTACTACTGCATGTCAAAATTTTGAGATTTGAGATGTTTATGTTATTAAATCATATCTAAATAATGTTATACTTTAAAACTGAATTATTGGAAACTTTTTAATTTAAATAGTTTCAAAGTGCCTGGATAAATAAGTCCACCAAGTACCCAGTATAAAACGTTTCAATAATTTTATAGACCTGATTTAACATTTTTATATCCGCTGCCGTTAAAGGAAAATTTTCAATTACAAATCTATATTAATTTAAACATATCAAAAAATGTTTACTGATAATATTGAGAATCTGCTTTTGATAAAGGAAACTATCTATAGGTACTATCCAGATTTAAGAAAATCCCCTACGTTTGGGGTATGGGATTTTCAACACATTTTCAGAATGTAGTATTATTAACAGACTTAGTTATTCATTGTTGCAAAATTGTAAGTGAACCGATCATTTGTGTCTACATTAATTCTCAAAACATGAGAATGTGGAGCACTGAAAATCAACATATTGATGTTGAGATCCCCTTCCATCCTCAAAAAAATTTATGTTGAGGCTGCAATTAGTTAATGACGGATAACTAGTAGGCCCCATATTCTTGAAGGCAATCATATTGTTAATATAATCATGTGATTAATTGGCTTAATCTTCTTCAAAGTAACCCAACCGCTGTCAAAAATAAACAAGAATGTTTGATCGATTTTATACGACAATGCCACAACGATGAAATGGAAGTGTAGGTTATTTTTAGCAAGACGGGGCTGTAGCGCATTGGGCTAGGACCACAATGCGGAATAACTATTTTTTAGTTGTAAATATTTACACAATATTTTGTTAAAAATTGGACACCTTTTTCTGTTTTGTGTATATTTTGTAGATATTTGATGCATATATGTATGCGCATATTTTAATAGAAATCTTTGCATACAATTCCGACCTCTCCTATTAATTTCTTTGACTGAATGAACATAGACAATGTGTATCCATTCAGTTCGAAATCTTTTTAGCGTGAATTAAGGTCTACCCGAGAGTACATTACGAACAAAGGAATATAATTTTAAAGCATACAGTAAAATAAATGCACTGAATTACGTATACCGAAATTAATGTGATCAGTATCACCTTTCAAGTGAAAGTAACTTAAAACTGGGGAGGCACTAGATTCGGGTGGCTGATAAAAACCGAGAACGACTGATTTAAATGGGACAAAATTTAATATCAAAGGTGTATTTTAATAAAGCATACTCACGTATTGCTTGGCAAGACGGTATAAGTTATCCAACAACGATGCCGTAGTGTCATCAATGAATGCTCTAGCCACATTTTTGCCGGCCATGCGGGACAAAATCTTTTTCTGGGCACGTAGACCGATGTCGCGCGCCCTGAATGCGCTTTCGCTCATGACTGGAAAACAATATTACCATGTTACACTAGTTTAAATTGAAACAAAAACCTCTTGTGCATACTGCATAAACCACATCTCAAAACTGCCACCGCATTCGGACGAAATTGCGGAAATTTTTACTGTCGGAATAACTTTGTTAGCGCTAGGAATATTTTCAAAGTGACCGCAATCAATACTATAAATATTTGAACATTGCATGACCAAGTATAGTATTTTGATTCTGGTGGGAACTTATCTTCTTTCGCCATCAAGACATGCGAAAATATCAATAAACATGCTGGAAGCGATAATAACAAGCACGAAATTTTTTCAGTGTATGTAAATATTTTTCAAAAGAAGCCCTCTGTCAAGGGCAGTCTCATGGCGTGCCAAATAACACGAGAATGTTGAAACGGGAATGTCAACATACAAACCCAATAATGAAAATAAGTTGTCACTAGTTCGCGATGAACTAAAATAAAGTTCTTGTCGTTATTTCTTTGACTAATTTTTAACGTTTTCAAACAATTTACGACGCTCTAAATTGGAAGTGCTAACAACCTCCCTCTAGATACTCAAATACGTAGTAAAGAAAGAATAATGTGATAATAAAATAGTTAATCATCTGCTTGCCAGTCTGCGGATGCTGGCGTCGCCTACACTTTTTTATGTGATAAAGTTTCAAGAGGATGTTGTAGAAAACTTATTCATGATGCATCGCACCGAAAATCGTTCGACATTAATACTATTCAGAATACCTGAAACAACGAAGCCAACACGTCTTATTTATGATACTGCACTGTTTTACTTGAAGTTCTTTCAGAACAGCAACTTAACTGCCCGTCGACACGACACCCCTAAGTTTTTATAGCGAAAAATTTGCATTAAAAATTCAGAATTTTATATTTTGCGCAAAATTGCCGTTTTTACAGTATGCACAAACACGCATTACAGAAAAAATAAAAATGTGAACGTACCTGGCGTTTCCAACATTAGACCTAGTGTTTAAAAATTAGGACCAACAGAAAAAAATCCTAAAAACAAAAAGGGGTTAAACGAACTCAAAGAACACAAATGTGAAAAAAGCAAGGAGAAATTGAGAAGAAAAATGTAGACTCACACAAGCAGTTGCTGCATTCTGTAGCGATGCACTGATAAATGAGCCAACTTTCAAGCTCCACCATTGCAGTCATTTTGGAGGCAACTTAAAGGGCAGTGTGGGTGGATGTATAGAGACCATCTGCAACAGATGATACATTTATACAGAGTCCCTCAATAAACAAACAAATTTATCAAAACATGTCATTATCGTGTCGGCGAAGAAACATTTAGAAAAATATCACGTTTCTTGCAGACACGTTGTAAGTTTCTGTAGGCATGTATAAAAAATTAATAGAAAAATATCGTGTAAGCTCGACGCTGTACGCATTTGAAAAATGGAGAATATAGGTGCGTATGCAGAGGCAAAATAGTTAAACAAGCAAAAGCCCAATCGATACCTATCCCTCTGTCAGTGCTTTCGCTTTTGCTTCTGTTCGTTATTCTGTGCCATAGAGACACCGAGCTTTGGCTCAAGCACGTACGAGCAAAATATAATAAAGTTAATGCCGTTTTCATATTCTATTGTGATTGTCGAGTACATTTAATTAAAGACTTTGACCCCATTACTCTAAGCGAAAGCTTCTGCTAAATGGCGCATAAAGGATTCCTTTACAAATAATAAATATCTACGACATGACTAGGAATTTATGCGTTGTTGGTTGCATATATATGGAACGTAATTAAAATTTCCCCATGAAAATTTAATCTGACCGTTGATGGCCGTTTCCTGCGAATAGGAATATTCCGCCTATCTACAATAAAAGTATGGAAATGAATTTTAGATTAGTTTTTGGCTGTAATTTTCAGCCGCCTTCAAATTTTATCCATGAGAAGTTTTTTAATAATCGCATATCACTGTTTGAAATTAGTTTTTTACCTTATTGTAGAAATTAATGGCTTGGATAATAAACGAAGCGATAAAGACCGGAAATCACGAGAACGGCAGATAATAGTGGTTAGAACGTTTATGGTTATATCTTTTTTTAAATTTAAAGCTACATCGACGCGCACAATTTTCGTTGTTTCCCTTATTTTTCCTGTTATTATTTCATTCATTAAAAAAGACAAGAGAAGTTTTAATTGAATGACCCTGATGCGAGTTGTAAATTGCACTCAAAGGCAGGAAATAGCAGTTTTACTTCATTTATCATGTAGATGTGCAGATTGTAGAATTTACCTATTTCCCAACAAAAACAATAAAGGAAATAATACGTAAAATCAGTTCCCCAGTTTCTATATCACACGACAAAACGTAAAATTAGGAGTTACGACAATTGTTAAATCTATATTTTTTTATTTAATGCTACTTACCGCTACTTCTATGTTGTTGATCAACAAACTAAACTATCGTTATTAATATTAGTCGATAGGGGATCCAGAACTCGTTCGGGAATAGAATACTGTCGGATGTTTCAATCTGACCGCCTAAATAAGAACGTAGAGAAAAGAACAGGCTTGGATAAACCGTTTAAAGATGTTTTGAATACAATTCTTAAGCGTGAAGGCACGTGTCCCTTGATGTATCTTGCCATCTATCAACTACAGTAAACACATATCAGAGGGGGAACTCCTAATCTCGCTGGCAACGAAATAACTTCGCTCCGGATCATATTATAACCACAGCTGGAGAATTTTTGGCACGCATATTCAGGATATTTTAACAGAGGCACATTAACGCTGTTTAAATATAGCCCATCTGTCACTAGAAATTAACATCAGAAAGAAAATGTAGACACAAGTAGAAAGTTATAAAGAAAGAATTAAGAAATAATATTAGAACAAAAGCCTTCAATTTATTTGGTACTGGATTTGAATAATCCAGGAATAAAAGATGGATTACAATGGAATTTTAAATTTGCCAACGATGAATTGGCAACCAACCACTAATAGTGGAAATTATGTCTGCTTAATTATATTTCCTCAAAAGGCTTGTGAAATATGTATGTAGTATATCGATATTGTCACTTGTAATGAAAAAATTTCCTAAGCAAACAGAAATTAAATTTATCAGATATTTTTTAAAGCAAATTTCTAAATTAAAAATTCTAAATGTAATATTAAAAACACAATAATTACTAGATAAACTAAAGTTTGTATAATGTATGTTGCAGACGGGAATTTTTAAATCGAAAGAAAATAAACATCAGATAGGTCAGAGAAAAAAAGAGGCTAAAGAAGAAAACTCAATCTCTGTATCTTATCGCACGATAAATTCGATGGCAGTTTAAGGAAATTGAGTGGAAAATATCATACTGCTAAAAAATAGAGATAGTTGTTAAGAGTGAATGAAGTGTTTTAAAATTAACTGATAGAACACCTTATCTATTATGATAAAAACTGCTACAAAAACATTGCTGATTTTTTATTGATACTGTTTCGTAAGGAATGGAATTTTTGCATCTTTATGTTTTTTAATATATTTATGTAAATTTTTATCATTCTAGCGCACTGATTACTCGGCCTTTTATGTGCAGATGTTATAAAGTTAATAAAGTTAAATCTAAAATTGTCTCATTGTACAGCAAGAACAATAAAAACAGGATCAAAAACAGTCATTGACTTTTGAAGGTTTGTCTCTGATCATTGCATTTTTGGGTCAAACTTTAAAATTGACGGTGCTCTATCAAGACAAGAATTCTATCAATGATAAATTTTCAAAAATCCTTGGCTATCTTTGACCGTGTTTTTTATTGAAAAATAAAGTTTGTAAACAAATTGTGGGAGGTTATTTTGACAAATTCCGCTTCTTTAAAAAATTATAAAATTTGATTTTGCGATTTTCGTTTTGTGATAACTGTTAACCTCTATAAAGTGGCGTAATTAACATCCCCATAGCCACTGCGTACTTAAATGTGAAATATATTTAAAGCAGATAACTAACAAGAAAAAATGTTGACATTCTCAATTTCTCAGTACATATATGCTTAACTTCGACCCCATTCGACTATTAGCACGTTCAGATTACAAGCATCAGCGGTTAAAAGAAAATGAAATTTGGACCAATTGATTAATTCATACTCAATTTTTTCCCAAAAACACTAATAAATTTGAAGAAATTTGGCAAAAATGTAAGAGGACGGATAAATTTTGATTAACGATTTACCATGTTTCAAATAATCTTAAAATATTTGCACGATTCCACAGCATTCGGTTTTTGCAAGGGAAATTGTAAAATGTTGTTATACAATTTTGATTTTTTCCTCAAAAATCTGGAAGTCTAGGATGAAAACTCGACACAAATTCATGAATCACCCATGCAGGAATATACAATCTTATAAAACTAAATACGTAATATAATACCAAAAAAAGGGGCAAATTAGTAGTAAGTAAAATGGTACTTTCACCCCATTTTTTTTAATTAGGCCAATTTTAACGTTGAAGTGTTTTTTTTTGTAAAAATCTCAAAGTCAGAGGTATCTATATAAGTCCGCTGGAATCTGGCCAAAATCTTTAGCAATCCACAACTTAAAAAAAAAATCTAAAAAATGGGGTGAAATGTTAAAATAATACATCAAAAAAACTGTACGTCACAAATTGACTTTTTTATTTTATAAAAAAGAAATAAAAAAAACTTCAACGTCAAAATTCCTGACTATTTGCTGAAAAAATGATAAAGTACCTTCAAATAAATAAAAAACATGTAAAAATAACCAAATAAATGAAAAAAAGTGGGGTGAAACGTACCATTTTACTTTCCTCTGATTCAATTTAGAAATTTCATCGAAAACGTCCGATAATCCAATCCGAATCCGTCAGATGAGTATTGAATTTGAAATAACAAACAATCCTTTTGGAATCACCAAAATTTATATTTGGTAAGTATAAATTAAAGAAAACTTAAATGGCAAAATTGTAAAATGATGTCATTATTGTTTAGAGGGGCATGAATGGAAAAATTTGATGAACGATTTACCATGCTTACGATAACTTTAAAACGTCTACAAAATTTCAGAGCATTCGGTTTTGCAGTTTCAAAGTTAAGTTGCAAGATGTTGAAATTTTGATTTTTCTTTTTCCAAAAATCTGGATGTTTAGGGTAAAAACTCAATAGGGGTTCATATACCACATGTGCAGAAGTATCTTATGTTATAAAATTTAAATAATACTATTTACATAATATCTAGTTTCTTATGCGTCTATTATATTTTCGGAATATTTATTGCATTTGTAATTGTAACATCCTGTATATGTGAAAAATGTGTTGTATAAAAAAAAAGTAGACTGTTTCGAGCCCCACTGAGAAATTTTCCGAGGTCCTGACGTCACAATTCGACACTGGTCTGATCATAAAATTTGAAATTTATTGTTAACCTGACAAAAAAATTACGAACGTTAATAGTCACTCGGTACTTTATTAACCGCAAGTAACAGACTTCTGGATTTATTCATCCAAATCAAAGAGATTGTGATCTTAATGTTACCTGCATCTAAATCTTTGAAGAATTTTTCGTGCAACTACGATTTTTGGAAGTTTCTTGGTTGTGTAACTTTTCTAAGTTCTGGAAACCACTTTCTCCATTATTTCTTAATAAGGAGAATCGCTCAATTGATGACTTTGAATGTTTACTCTGTCTTCAAAAAATATTTGTTCTTTCTAGATACTGTTCTTTGAGTTTTGTTTTGGTGCGTCCATGTGAAAAGATTGATTAAAACACACTCCTACGTCTGGATAAAACTTTTCCGCTAGGTTTTAGTTAACCTTTTAACATATTTGCATGCTCGTATAATTTCCTTCTTAGTTTGACTGCAGATTCTTATTTTAAACCAAATTTTCAACACTTGAAAATGTCAAAGGGCTAATTGCCAAGCAGAACCAGAACCGACTTAGGTAATCTCTTTGAAAGATCCCTCCCCTAATGACTGGGATCCAATTAAATGGTTTTAAGTTTCAACGTGATTTGAGGTGTTGTCTTCCAAATCTCAAGTGAATGCTTATTAACCAAATAATTCCATGTCTACGCGATGTTACAAATTTTTGTGGTACCACATCCATTGTTTTCCCCTGGACTTGTGGGTGTTAAAATAAATATTACATTATAAATAATAAGTATTTGTTTATATCAAAATAATTCTACTCTTAATATATAAAATAAATAACAGTACGTCCAAGTATTTATTTTTTGGACGAAATTGAAATTA